GTGGGTGTGGGTGTGGGTGTGTGTGTGTGTGTGTGTGAGAGAGAGAGAGAGAGAGAGAGAGAGAGAGAGAGAGAGAGAGAGAGAGAGAGAGAGAGGAGGACGACGAGGGGGTAAAGAATAGGAGTAGGAGGGAGAGGAGGTGGAGCATGGGGGGAAGCCGGCGGTGGCGGGAGGATGACTAAGCTCAGAGACGGCGATGTGGCAGTAAATGCCTCGGTGAGATTGCCTGAGCGGTGTTGTCTTTGGGGGGTAACTTCAGTACTAGAGTTACAAAAACGAGTTATAAGTGGACTATATATGGGGCAAGATACAGTTTGCAATTGCACTTCCGGCACCCTACCTGGCCGGAAATCTGGGTTGTATACACTGCCCGAACTGCCGTTGCAAACTGTATCTTGGCCCATAGTGCAATGGTAACTCGTTTTTGTGACTCCCGCCTAGTTTCCCGTTTTTTTGGTCAGAATCTTTTGTTTGTGAAGACAACAAAAAAAGGCCGAAATGTTTTAGGGCCTCGCTCCGCTACTCTCGACATGCTCGCAAAGCGAGAGGGAATCTTCCGCTAGAACATCGAAAGATACGCCGCCATTATTTTTGTCTTTTGTGCCTCTCGAGAGTAGTGCAGCCATGCCCATATCCCCCGGGGCCAAGTCCCACTAGCAGCGTTGAGCTACCCCAACGCCCGAATCTGGACGCTTTTGCGGAGATGTGCAGAAATGGTGTTGAGTTTCCTGAACTACACGTCTCCACAAACACGTCCAGATTCAGGCGTTGAGGTAACTCAACGCTGCTAGTGGAACTTGGCCCCCGATCTTGGGACTACCCTTATAAAAAAGACAAAAAACCAAAAAAAACAAAAAATAAAATTGGGGACTACCGTGACCCGACCGGGCCGTTTATAAGGTTTGAAAAGGCCTCGTGACAAATACAGGGTGAGGAAATGGTTTGAGGATACCTGGGGGAGAGAGTCTAGATTAGTCAAGCTTACTGCAGAAGGCAGGTTGTGCTTCTCGCCCTGGCTTCTCTCCCCAGCGGGTCATGGGGAGCGCTTTAGCTCCCCCCCTTAGATTAGATCATCACTCAGAATGCGAGGTGGGCCATTTAGACACGACACAGCTTACATTGTGCCTTTTGTGGTGACATTATCCTTTCCTTTTTTTGGAGAATGTTTTCGGTAAGGGACACTGCACCCGGTTTCCAGAAGCCTATAGCTGGGTAAGGGCCCGAGCATGTTTGCGTACCGGGTTGTGATGTGGGGTGTTTTCCCGGGCCCCTGTCCCTTATTTGGAATGAAAGGTTTACTTCTCCAAAAAAAAAAACAAAAAAAAAACAAAAAAAAAGATTGCGCAAAGGACGCTCGGCGGCCTGACCGGCGACCTGCACGGGTGCCCGGGGCGAATGGGTGGGGGCTTCCTGGCGATTTTTTTTATTTTATTTTTTTTCAGCCTTCCCTGCAAATTCGGGCAACCCATGCGTTGAGTTTCCTCAACGGGCGAATCCCGACGTGTTTGTGGAGACGTGCTGTTGAGGAAATTCAACACAGTTTCTGCACATCTCCACAAACACGTCGGGATTCGGGCATTGAGGAAACTCGACACTGCTGGTGGGACTTGGCGCTGATAATATAGACAGGGACAAGGTCCCACTGTCCAAGTATGGATTACCGAAGGTCAATGGGCCTAGCTCCACTACACAGCACTCTACATGCAATTGGCCACTTTCCCGACCAAATTCGTTGGGATGAGTCCAACATTTTGGATGTCTCCAGTCCAGTACTTTGTCCAAATGCATGTAGACTGTTGTGTATTGCAGCCAGGCCCAATATTAGTCCACCCAACAGTTCCCCTGCAGCTGTCCGTCTGTCTGTCCGTCCGTCCTTCTGTCTGTCTGTCTGTCTGTCTGTCTGTCTGTCCAACGGAAGGTAATACCCTTCCTTCAACCCCCCCAGACCCCCCCCCAAAAAAAAAAGGAATTTCAGTTGAAGTGCGCTATTTAGGGCCTTGCCAGCATACTCCCTTCCCTCCTTTTTTTTGTTTTTTGTTTGTTTTTCATCATTGTGCAAAGTTCAGGAAACAAAGGAGGCCGGGAATCCCTCACAAAACAACCCCCCCCGAAAAAGGTAACCGGGGCACAGCCCAGCTCAGAATGGTGTTGGGAGCAGTATGACTACCAGTAGGTAGGAACAGAAATGGCCTGCACACAGACCGCTGTCCTGTCTTGTCCACAACACTGGAAAAAAACTTTGCCTACAATGCCCGAAAAGCCAAACAATCTAAATACTCCCTTCCTTCACGCCCCCCCCTTCTCCCCTTTCTTTAAGAAAAAAAAAAAAAAAAGGAAAAGCTTTTCATTCCAGGCCCAGTGCCCAAGGCTGTACAATGTGTACATACTACATAGCAGACAGGGTTCGGCATACTTCTTTGTGTTCGTTTTGTTGAGCCTACTCTATGATGTGAGGGACGCCGGAGCCGTTTTTTTCGGCTTTTATAATTCAGCAGAAGCCATCGTATGAACCAGGCGGGAGTGCCTGGATCATACGATATTTGGCTGCCTTTAAAAAAAAAAAAAAGCACAAAGGAAAATACATATATAAATCTATGATTCCAACTGGCACTCTACTATTTGTCAAAAACAATCAAAAAGTTCAGGCTAAACAAGTAATTGCGGGAAAAAAAAAAAAAAAAAAAGTAATTGCCGAAATCCATTCAACTATCCCTCAATCAGAAGGTTCAGGGGTCAACCCCCTCAGACACTTGCCACAGCCCCCTCCTCGCAGTCTCCAATTTGCTCCGGCAGCGAACCCCGGAAGTTGCGGCATGCATGCAGTTCCGTCGGCTGTACCCAGTCCCAGCGCCCAACTTGAGTCTATACCCAGACCCTGTCCAACGGAAGGAAATACCCTACTTTTTGGGTGCGCCAACTTATACATCTACCCTGCCATCGCTGCCAACCGTGGCACACAGGCCCTTGGTTGGGGAGCACAAAATTATGCTTATGCCTGGGAACCAAACACTGTCCGGCAAATTTGGGTGGGCAGTAGCATGCAAATAATTTGCCCGGGCATGTGCATAATTTGAGCATTCCGGTAGTTGCGTATAACAGCAATTTGGCAGTACCAATCTTGGCCCACCTCAGTCCTGGGCATCCAAAGAATTTGCACAAACCATTTCCTGGGCACAGATGCAAGTTGCGCACTGAGACTGGGTATAGCGGGTATTCCCATATTTAAACCACCTGTACCTCGCCCACTGGCAACTATCGAGGCTGAGCCTCAGCCTCGGCCGACCGGTATGCCGATCCATGCTTAGGCTGCTGGAGCTACCGGGCGTTCCAATCCCCAACCTTTGTTCACCATAAAAATGAAAAAAAATTGAAAAAAAAAACATAAAAAC